GTGTGTGTGTGTGTCAAAGTGAAAATGAAGAGATGAATGGACAGAGAGCACTCACTAGTGACGGCAAGAACGTCGTCAGTGATGTGGGCGGAGATGTGGATACGTCCTCTCCTTTCCGTGTGATCCGTTCCACACAGGCTCGGGACGTTGGCCACACATCGCTTGTGGATGTTCATCATGCAGTCTGAGAAACAAGAATACACACATCAAACAGAAAATGGATGGATGGATTTCTGGTAATTTCTCTGAAAACTCCACAGTCTACAGTTAGAGGAAGCTGAAGGACATCCACCGATAGGGAGATTAGCAACTGTCCATAATGCTGCAGACTGTAACTTTTCTAAGAAATATATTATTTTAGATATTTGTTGATATTTGTTCAACATGTCGTGACAGTATGGTATGAGACCAAAAAAAGAGTAAAAGATTCAAGCTCCTTTGCTTTCTCCCACCACCAGCTAAAAACAACCAATTGGAGCTAGGAGGTGGGTCTTAGTGCTGTCAATCTCCCTGTGTATGGTGCTGCTCATGCCCCAGTCTCCTTTCCCACCTTGCTCTCTGTAGCTAGTAGAGCCCACCATGAATGCTAAGGCTAGTTAGCATGGCCACCGATGACAGCAGATAAATGGTGAGTTGTTTCTCTGCCGTTAGTATATTGAGCAGCGTGTACATGAGGTTGACTGACAGTGCTAAGACCCTCCTACAGGCTTTGATTGGTTGTTTTTGGTCAGGATAACTTGACAGCAACATTTCTTCTCTAATATTACTGCTTGTGATTAGCTTCACCGGGTCACTAAAAGACATGAAGCAGCAGGGATGTAGTTTTTTTCTCACACAGCTTTTTCATATTGAGGTGTTTCTTTTGTTTAACAACTAAGAAAATATAGCTTCAGACTATATTTAAATAAGGTTAGAACCTGGTAAAAACCAGATGATTCCAAGTCCTGATGTGTAAAACCAAGGAATAAAAGTGCATCATCAGCAAACATCTTCTGACTATCTCCTGCTCTGATTGGTCTCATTGCACATCTCTCTCTTTAACACAATGTGTTAGGAAACTCTCTAACATTTGCAAAAATTGTAGTTCACTGTAGCCATAAGTAACAAAAAGAAATTTTATTCTTAAAGATTAGATGTTTCTTAGCAAAGATGGGAATAAAAAAAACACACACAAAATATGACTATAAAACTGAAAAACTATTTTGCAGAATATACCGAAGCCAGAAGAATGGCAAGAATAACAAACCAGAAAAGAATAAACAAAGTTGATTTTTGGGTCATGAATAACAGGTAGCCAATGTAAATTCTCATTCTGTCCACTAGATGGCAGACTCATCTGATCTTCCATGTCAATCATTGAGCTCCAATCACCAATCAGTGGATGGAGGAGATGCTCTGAAGATGCTTCTCTGCTGTTGTTGGTTCTTGTGTTAAATCTGATCTCACATCTCCAACAGAGAGAACTCCACACACATCGTTCCTCCCACTCACACAGACAGCTAAACAGCTGAATAAACTAACAGTTTCATGGCCGCAGATGGACTCTACATGTATATATTCACATTGTATGGACACACAGAAATGATCTCATTCAAAACATTATACATCTATTTGACTGAATTTATTTGAACACGAGAATATTTAGAGTTTTTGTTCTGATACTTTGTTGGCCTAATAATGAACATTTTCATATTTCAACTATTTTTTCCCCCAACAAAAGCACTTGCATAAAAGAAAGAAATTATGAAAAACTATACATTGTGCCTTTTATGCATCTTAATCCCAGTTACATTAAAACATAGACAAAAGTGGTTTGGTCCTTAAGTTGTCTTAAGTCTAAGTAAATGAGAATTGAAATGAATGAATGTCATTCTTCTGTAAAGCTGAATAATGGCACTAAGATTACACATAACAGTCAGTTTCGGCCAATAAGATGCACTGGCTGTGTGAGCACATTTTGGCAGGTGGGGATTAATGCAAAGCTTACAGCAGCTACTGCAGAGACATACTGATGTCTGGGAAATGTAGGTCCATCCTTCTTCAGCTTGAGTTCACTGAGAAGTGGAAAACGAGACAGGTGCCAATCTTCATATGTGGGAACCTCATAACCAGTGTAATATTGTAATAAACCAAATGCTTGGTTTTCATTCGCCATGATAAAGTAAATGAACAGAAACAAGAGCTTGAAATATCACCATGTGTGATGATTCTGATAGTATTATCTTTTTTTAACTGAATTACTGAAATAACTTTTGATGCTGTTCTAATATATTGAGATGTACTTGTGATATAAATGTACACATTGTCCAGTTTAGATAACGACACAGAAATCAGCTAATTCAAACTAGAAAAGAACAAAATGTGTTAACATGTTTCTAACAAACTTCAGTTCTTCATGCTGAACCAGGTAAATCTTTGTACCCGTCCTGTCCTTGTTCCAACAGTGGATGTACCAAAGGTTTCTGTCTGGATATGATATGTTTATGCTACGGAAGAGGATTAGGGCCACTGAAAAAAATAAAATAAAAAAAATTCTGACTTTAATCTCAGAATTCTTCAGCTCGAGTTCACTGAGAAGCGGAAGACTTCTCAGTGAACTCAAAGACTAAAGTCTGATTTTTTTTTTTTCATTTTTCCAGTGGCCCTAATCCTCTTCCGTACTATACAGACCCACATAAAACTAGACCTGTTGGAAAATTATGTAAAAGAGGCTGTTGTAGTGTATTCATTAGCAGGCTGGGTCAAAGTCCATCACTCAGTGGGCACTGCATGGTGCAATGAGGAAATAATATTAATAATGGTCATGGTTAAATAGAGGTCTGCAGAAACACACTTCCTGTTTGTATCAGCAATAAATAAAGCAAAGTGAATGAATATAAAAACCAGACTGTGAGACGGTGAATTCAGAGATGTAATGCATGTGAATTAAATCCGGGCAGAAAGTCGAAACATGCAACCAGGAATAAGCAACCAAAAAGACTGGGAAGCTGAAAGGAACAGCTGAAAAATCAGAGAAATGTAATGTAATGATTGACAGCAAACATCTTCTGACATCTTAAATAGATCAAATCTGTAGTTGTCCAATATTAGGAAAACCTACTAATGCCATTTTATTGCTGAATGTTGTTTGAAGTTAATCCACACGTCTTCTACTCTTCCCAGACTTTCTGTGACTATCCTCCCATAACGCTCAGTCTAATCTGTCCGAGTTGCGAAGGCTGCAGGAACGTCCATCCATTCAACCAATATAATTAATAAATTAAAGGGATGCAGAGCAAGACTGTGTGACCTCTGAAATTAGAGGTGCAAATATTTTAGTTTTCTGGCTGATGATTACTGATCTTTAAAAAGTTTGACCTGCCAATTCCGATTTTGGCTGATACTGACTTTTTTGTCGTAAATTTTGCTATATTATTTATTTATGTCGAACATGATAGTATAAAATCATGCACAAGAACAAGGAATGCAAAAGACATATTTTTGTAACACAGTAATCTTGACATGCTGGAAAAGGAGTAGGAAGAAGTAAGAACCTTGTGAACTCCTACCCCATAAACTCATATATTTTCAGATGGACCCTCATTAATAGATCAAATCAAAAATAAAAATAAGCAGGTTAATTAATTTTCCATTTTATCTGGGTTTACATATGTCCAAGTATAAACATGCATACATCCATTCCCACACACTCATATGGGTTAGCCTCAATTTACATATACATTAGTGCCATCTCTCACCCATATTTCTATATCTTGTGAAAATGACCTCCTTATATTTCCTTTTATGAAATTTTGACTTTGTTTCAACTCCTCATTTAACTTGCTCCATAACTTTACCCTGTGAATTGAAATACAAAAGCTCTTTCTTGTTGTTCGTAAACTACGAATCCTTAAGTTGGAGTGACCCTTTACGTTATATCCCCCTTCTCTCTCAAAAAACATGCTCTGTTTGAGCTCAGGTAGCATTTTATTAGATGCCTTACACATAATTGTTCACTATAGATCGGACACACCGATGGGTGAATGGTTTGTCCTTGACAGAGATACTGAATGTTAAGGTGTCAGATGCTACCTGCCAGCACAACCCCAGACTACGCTGCACAGGTTCCTGATCTCCACTGAAATCCAGGTCTTTGATTCCTTCTGCATGGTCCTCAGGAGGGAAAGCCTTCATCACAGCTGAACTGTTAGATGCAATCTTGTGCAGGTGAAGATTGGACTCAGACAGGGATGCGTGGGTCCTCTGAAGGAGATCCATGGCTTGTGTATCAGATGGAAGAGACATAAGTCCATCATCGACGTAGAAATGTCTCTCCAAAAAGTGACATGTGTCTTCACCATGGCAACGTGCTCCTGCTTCAGCAGCTCTTCAGAGACCATATATGGCTACAGCTGGGGATGGTTTGTTGCCGAACACATGGGCTTTCATCCTGTAATCGATAATGTCTTTAGTCATGTCATTGTCTCTGAACCTCAAAAAGTTTCTGTGGTCCTCCCTTACATGAAAACAATTAAACATCTGACGGATGTCAGCTGCAACAGCTACTCTCTGCTTCCTGACTAAGCAGGACCCCAAGTAAGCCGTTATTGAGATCTGGCCCTTTGAGCAGCACACTGTTCAGTGAAATTCCCTGGTGCTGAGCGCTGGAATCAAAAACGACCCTGATTTGCCCCGGCTTTTGAGGATGGTAAACACCGAAGAAAGGTAAGTACCAGCACTCTTCATTTTCTGCAAGGGGTGGTGCTATCTCAGCATGATTGTTTTCAAATATCTTCTTCATAAAGCTCTCAAAATGTTCTCTCATCTCTCCTTTTTGGTTGAGCGTGCGGCACAAGGAGGTGAGGCGCTTTGCTGCCTGCTCACGGTTGTTTGGCAGCCTTGGCCTGGGTGCCTTGAATGGCAGCGGAGTGACCCAGGTATTGTCTTCATCTCTGTACACTTGGGTCTTCATGGTCTTTAAAAAGACAATATCCTCATATGATGGTGCTAACTTATTGTCGTTACCAGTTTCAGTAAACACAGTCTTTCCTATGCTTTGTTCTCTTTGCTCACTTGACAGTGCAGTGGTGCCCCAGGGGCTCTCCCCGCCGTAGCTTGCTCTCTCTTGAAGCTGTATTTATGCATCACATGATGTCATGTAAGATGGTCGACCACCAGGCAAAACAGTGGTTTTGTGGCATGATACACTTGACCTGTGGGCACCTTGAAGACACACCTCCCCGACTACTACCCAGCCAAGGTAAAGCTTCTGAGCAAAGGGAGCATTCACTGGGCCACTTTGTGCACTTGGAACACATCCCGCCCAAGCAGGAGCAGTATCTCTGCTCTGGGATCAATTTCAGGGATTTGCGAAGCGATGGACTGAAGATGAGAGTGATGAAGAGCTGCAGCTGGTGTAGGTATTTCATACCTGTTGTTGGGTAATTGGTTGGATTCAATCAACGGTGGCAGAACTATACATTCTCCTCCGTTTACTGGTTCAATACACAGTCCTGCAGCTTTCCTCCCTGACAGGTCTGTGAGTCCTGAACATGTCTTCAATGAGTAGGGAAAAACCTGACTCTGGATGTTGAACATCTCGAACAGTTCTGACCTAGCAAGTGAGCAGTTGCTTTGGTCGTCAATTACTGCCTCTTTGGTCCTGAAGAAACACTCTGGTGAGGCATATTTTGGCACAAGACATGGATGCTTGGCCTTCACCACAAACCTCTGTGCAGTGGCTACTTACAGCGATGTTGTTAGAATGATCTTCTTCGACTTCGCTGACCTCTGATGTTAAAGTAGTCTTTAACTCACTTGAAAGTGGACCGGGATGCATTGCTGAGATGTGGTGTTCACTGTTGCATTCGCTGCATTTGGTAAGAACTTTGCAGTCTCTTGCAATATGGGAACAGGATGCACAGCATTTGTAACAAATCCCACAGTCTTTTAAAAACATTTTCCTTTCTTCCAATGTCTTGGCTCGGAAAACTTTGCACTTCTTCAGAGGGTGGGGTTTTTTGTGGATTGGACAATGTTTACTTGGGTTGTCAGGTATGGCAGGAACAGCAGAGCCATTTCCCTCTTCAAAGTCTGTTTTTTGCACCGTTACAGGAAATTTTGAAGCTGTGTGTTGCACAAATGACTTAGCTTTTACAGTAGGTTGAGAACTGCTGGGAACAGCGAAACTGGGATCATTTCTGGTACGGGCTTCATTACTCACAAATGAAGCAAAATAGCAGAATGGTGGGAAACGACCATAATGCTCTCTCTTAAATCTTGAGCCCTCTGTTATCCACTTCTCAAGGAGATTGTGGGGAAGCTTTTCTAAGACTGGACTAATTCCTCGAGCTGTATCCAAGAAATCTAATCCAGGAAGATATCCATCTTCTTTTGCTGCCTGAAGTTCTAATAAAAGATCTCCCAGCTCTCTTAGCTTATTGTAATCCCTGCTGGAAACTCTGGGAAATGCATCAAGTCGTTTAATGAACTTTCAATCACTTCTGGTGCAGCGTAGCACTCATACAACCTGTCCCAGGCTTTCTTGAGAGCTGCTTCAGGGTTACTAATGTGCATAAGGCGCATCCTCTTCACATGTTCTGCTGACTCCCTTCCAAGCCACTTTGTGAGAAGATCCAGCTCTTCACTTGCTGAAAGCTCTAGCTCTTGGGTTGCGTTAACAAAGGCAGATACCCATGCTCTGAAGCTTTCTGGTTGGTCGTTGAACTTGCTCAGGCCTGTGCTCACCAAATCCCGTCGTGCTAAATACTTGGCAATGTCAAACATTGAGTCTCTGTGACTTTGGGGATGTGAGCTGGTAACATTTGGTGATGTATAGGGCCGAGCTGCTGGATTAGGGTAGCGTGGATGTCTCAATGATGCCCTATCACGATCATCTCCTGTGGCTGGAGGGTAATGACTGGGTGTGGGTAGCTGCACATAAGCCTTTGAAGGTGTTTTCCTGTAAGAGTTCTGAAACATCTCCATGTTTTGACTTCCTCTGACTGGCTCATGTGTGACGTTGGTGCTCGATACTTTCTCTCTTGGAAAATCGTCCTTTGGATGTGGTATGTTGCTTAGGGAATCTTTACTTTGTAGGTCAACTTGATGCTTTGCTTGTCCTTCAATATATTCCAATGTGTGTTCTGCTGATTCAGCATGTATTGGTGCATTACTCCTTTGCATGACAGAAAAATGGCCACTATTACTTTCACCTGCCTCCAGAATGTCCGCTTCTGCATCGGCAGCTGCTGCCTCTCGCTGCAAGCTCAGGGACTCCAATTCTGCTTCCAATTTGACTTTATTCAGCTCAAGTTGTACTTCTCCCTTAAAGTAGGATGCGCGTGCACGTGCTGCTTCTGCTCTGACACTGGCTAACGCAGCCCTGCTGACCTGTGATGCAGACAAGCATGCTTCCTGTGCTGACTTGAGATGCACCGTCATGATCTTCCATGATAATTCCAGACTAAGTTTCGGCTGATTCTTCTGCCTTTTCACTGTAATGGTCTCGCTATGGTGTCTTGTACCAAAACTAACCATCAGCCAAACTCCTTTCACACGAGTCAGGATTAATTAGATCTTCCTTTATTTCCATGTAGAATGGAGTGAAACTGCCAAAACACAAACAACTCAGGATGAGCTCAGAGCTGCAAACAGAAGTGTTTTACATTCAGATACATACATTAGAAGTACAACTGATACAACAGCTACCTCAGAATGCTATGAGCTGCAATGTTACATAACGACCTAAGAAATCTTAGCAGCCTGCTAGTTAGCAATGACGTAGCACATAATCAAATCGCCCGCAGGCATTTCCAAAACTAATCAAACATAAATTCAATAAACAAGTTACTTCTTTTATCATATATTAACATAAAGGCTCGTTTTGAAGTATAAGCTGCTACTTACAGGCATTGCTTTGAAGAACTCGACCTGGAATGCGGCGTTCATCTGCTCTACCGCTAGCAAACAACCGTACTGACTAAATAACATCAAAGTAAGGTAGTTCCCTAAAAGTCCAACAGATGGCAGCAAAGCGCCATGCAAAATAAAACACCCACAGTTTACAGGACACCTTTGTATACCGCCCACTTATGGAGACAGTATAAACAAAGCAGTTTACAGAAACTCAAAATGGCATACAATGACGGAATGAGGATGTTGTTTAGGATGGGGAGATGGACTAGTGCTAGTCAAGTATTTGTTGGTATTGGTGTCTCCACTTTTCCTGCTGTCTTACGAAACCTTACGTTCAGATTTATGTGGAATGACATCATCCTGATACTAGCGGATATTGCACAAAGCTCAGTCAGGTTTAAGTCCAGAATGTAGAACCGCTGGCGGTCTAGCCTTTCTGTAAAAGAGTGACTTGTGTTTGTGATTATTATCTTTCTATGGACCCATTAGTGTCTTTTATAAAGCTGATGATGATGAATGCTGCTGTTGAACTGGTCATCAGTGTGATAGTGGCAACTGTCGATACCAGTAAAAAAAATTATCAGGATCAATGTCATTTTCAATATCTTGCTGGCAGGGGCGCTGTATAGGGGGGAAAAGTTAGGACAATTCCAAGGGCCCCTGGCCGACATGGGGTCTTCCCACAAAATAGTCTTTTTTGGGGGGACAGGGAGGATTAGAGAAATAGAAACCCCTGTATCCTGTTAATAACAAAATTAATATTAGTATCATGTTTTTAAATATTTTTATCAGTAAAATTAAATGTTGTCACTCCCAGGCCAAAGAGCACACATTCATATTTGCCCTGAACCCCCCTGGATCTGCATGAAATGGTTCGTTGCTTTAAGGTGACTGTGTTCAGCAGCAGTTGGTAGAAGACAAGAATGACTGTGGTAGTTACTATGCTGCCAAGAAAAATAATAAAGTCAGGTTTTAAAAAAATAGAGAGATAGAGAGAAAATTAATGTTCTCTATCCTCAATTTGTCAATTTGTAACCCAGTTCTTCTCCAAGAGGTGGGTAGACTGTCGATTATCAACCATTTAGCACAGTTAGCTTAGCTACAGACTGTTTGCCTCCATTTCTTTTAAAGAATGAAGGAACAAATCTACCAACATATTCATATATTTAACTTGCCCCTGTACCTTTTATCACACTTAACAACAGATGAGTCAGTCAGCAGCAGCTCTAGCCACCATACCAGCCTAATCTTCCCGTCCCAGTGATAAAGGTGAGCAACACTGTGTTCAGGGAATTACAGGGAATCCATAGAGATTTTTCCTGTCTCTCTGCTCTTTTTAGAATTACACAACAAACAATATTTAATACTGACAGAAATTCAAACAATCTCTATAAAAAGATCATAAAAAAATGGCCTCCTGTCAGTCCAGACAGTCCTACACAACATGGTGACAGCTTTAACAAATATGGAGAAACATATTTTTTAATTAAAGTTATATACTGCTGCTTGAACAAAATGCAACTTCATAGCATTTTTGAGAAGTCTTTATTGCTTTATGTATATTTTGCATGTTGCCTATGACTGTTAATAAAAAATTAAGCTACCTATTTGCATATTGTTTGCGGACTGTTGGATGTAAAATTCACTAGCTGTAAATAATAGCTATGTCCGAATTCAGGGTCTGCATCCTTCGAAGGACCTGGTCTACGTAGGTTGGGTCCTTTGAAGATCACGAATAAACGACGACCAGAAGAGAAGGGCTGTGAATTCNAAATGACAAAAATATGTGTAAATTGACAAAGTTCAGGTTATCCTGAAAAAAATGATACCACATAAGGCAATATTAATGGTTTTTATTAAGAAATAAAAGGTAAAATCAAAATTAGTCAAAAACGGCCATTTAGAACACAGACCCCTAAGGGCACAATGTCCCCCTTTTGAAGATTGCGATGAGGTTTGTTCCACTTGCAACGTTGCTGGAGAGAAGATAAGTACTCACTCCTCCAACGGTTCCAAAAAT